TGGGCACTATCATATCTATACTTGAAACTGTGTATGGAGTCAGCCTCCACCACATCACTTCCTAGTGCATTCCATTTGTCAACCACTGTATGTGTGTGTGTACTCACCTATATGTACTCACCTATATGTGCTTGCAGGATCGAGCATTGACTCTTGGATCCCGCCTTTCTAGCTATCGGTTGTTTACAGCAATGACTCCTGTCCCATTTCCCTATCATACCTAGTTTTAAAAGTATGAATAGTATTTGCTTCCACAACCTGTTCCCCAAGTGCATTCCATTTTTCTACTACTCTCACGCTAAAAGAAAACTTCCTAACATCTCTGTGACTCATCTGAGTTTCCAGTTTCCACCCATGTCCCCTCGTTCTGTTATTATTACGTGTGAACATTTCATCTATTTCCACTTTGTCAATTCCCCTGAGTATTTTATATGTCCCTATCATATCTCCTCTCTCCCTTCTTTTCTCTAGTGTCGTAAGGTTCAGTTCCTTCAGCCGCTCTTCATATCCCATCCCTCGTAGCTCTGGGACAAGCCTCGTCGCAAACCTCTGAACCTTCTCCAGTTTCTTTATGTGTTTCTTCAGGTGGGGGCTCCATGATGGCGCGGCATACTCTAAGACGGGTCTCACGTAGGCAGTGTAAAGCGCCCTAAAAGCTTCCTCATTTAGGTTTCTGAATGAAGTTCTAATTTTCGCCAGTGTAGAGTACGCTGCTGTCGTTATCCTATTTATATGTGCCTCAGGAGTTAGATTAGGTGTCACATCCACTCCCAGGTCTCTTTCTCGAATCGTTACAGGTAGGCTGTTCCCCTTCATTGTGTACTGTCCCTTTGGTCTCCTGTCACCTGATCCCATTTCCATAACTTTACATTTACTGGTGTTAAACTCCAGTAGCCATTTCCCTGACCATCTCTGCAGCCTGTTTAAGTCCTCTTGGAGGATCCTACAATCCTCGTCTGTCACAACTCTTCTCATTAATTTTGCGTCATCTGCAAACATTGACATGTATGATTCCACTCCTGTAAACATATCATTTACGTAAATTAGAAAGAGGATTGGTCCCAGCACCGATCCTTGAGGTACTCCACTTGTTACTGTTCGCCAGTCCGACTTTTCGCCCCTTACCATTACCCTCTGGCTCCTTCCTGTTAGGTAGTTCTTCACTCATACTAGGGCCTTTCCGCTTACTCCTGCCTGCCTCTCAAGTTTGTATAGCAGTCTCATGTGCGGTACCGTATCAAAGGCCTTTTGGCAGTCAAGAAATATGCAGTCTGCCCAGCCTTCTCTGTCCTGCCTTATCCTTGTTACTTTATCATAGAATTCTAAAAGGTTTGTTAGGCATGATTTCCCTGTCCAGAACCCATGTTGGTGCTTGTTTACAAACCCAATGCTCTCCAGGTGCTCAACAAGTCTTAGCCTAATTATTCTTTCAAGTATTTTGCAGGGGATGCTTGTCAGTGATACGGGTCTGTAGTTAAGTGCCTCCTCCCTATCACCCTTTTTGAAAATCGGTACGACATTTGCCTCCTTCCAGCAACTGGGCAATTCTCCCGACATAAGTGACTCATTAAAGATCATTGCCAGAGGCACGCTGAGAGCCTGCGCTGCCTCTTTGAGTATCCACGGTGATACTTTGTCTGGTCCAACAGCTTTATTTGCATCCAGTGTTGTCAACTGTTTCATTACATCCTCTGCTGTCACCTCTATATCCGATAGCCTTTCATCTTGGGTAATCTCTTCTAACAATGGGAGCTGCTCAGGCTCGGTTGTGAACACTCCATGGAATTTTGCATTCAGTACCTCGCAGATTTCCTTGTCGCTTTCTGTATATGCCCCTTCTGTTTTCCTCAGTCTTGTCACTTGGTCATTTACCGACATCTTCCTTCTTATATGGCTATGTAGTAATTTTGGTTGCTTTTTCGCTTTGACTGCAATATCGTTCTCATAATTTCTTTCCGACACTCGTCTTATGTTAATGTAATCATTCCTAGCTCTGTTACATCTAATCCTGTTGTCCTCTGTCCTTTGTCTTCTGTACTTCCTCCACTCCCTCCTGCTTCTCACCTTTGCTTCCTGACACTGTCTATTAAACCATGGGTTATTATATTCCCTCCTGCTTTTTTCCTTTATTGTTGGAATAAATCTATCTTCAGCCTCCTTGCATTTCAATATGACTTGGTTCATCATACCTTGCACTGTTTTTCCTCTAAGTTCTTCCTCCCACTGCACTTCTCCCAGGTAGTCCCTTATCCTTCTGTAGTCCCCTTTTCTGTAATCAAGTCTCCTTTCCCGGACCTCTTGTCCTTTGGTCACAATTTTAAGCTCCATCATGTAGTCAAAGACTAGGACACAATGGTCACTAGCTCCTAGTGGTATTTCATGTTCCAACTGCTCGATGTCTTCTACATTCTGAGTGATAATGAGATCTAATAGGCTGGGCGTATCCCCTCCTCTTTCCCTAGTATCTTCTTTCACATGCTGTGTTAGGAAATTCCTGTCAATAACGTCTACCAGCTTCGCTCCCCAGGTCTCCTCCCCGCCATGGGGATTGTGTGTGTGCGTGTGTGTGTGTGTGTGTTTGTGTGTGTGTGTGTGTGTGTGTGTGTGTGTGTGTGTGTGTGTGTGTGTGTGTGTGTGTGTGTGTGTGTGTGTGTGTGTGTGTGTGTGTGTGTGTGAGTGAGAGACACAGTTAATCACTGGGAGATTCGAACCGCCGACCCCAGGAGCGGGAGACTGATGTTCTATAAAACAGAATGTGCGTGTTTTGTGAAGCGTGTGCAGCCGCCGACTCACACAGTGGACCAGCCACAAGAGAACAGTGATGTGTCTTTAGGCAGTGATGTGGTGGAGGCTGACTCCATACACAGTTTCAAGTGTAGATATGATAGAGCCCAGTAGGCTCAGGAACCTGTACACCAGTTGATTGACAGTTGAGAGGCGGGACCAAAGAGCCAGAGCTCAACCCACCCACAAGCACAACTATATGTGCTTGTAATATGTTGATCTGTTGTATCGGACCAATGCTAAACACAAGCCTCCCCCCCCCCCCACCAGCCCCATTCTACCCCCTCAAAAAAAAACTCAATACAAGAAAAAAATACAAAATTGGATTATTCTTAATATCCGATTACGAAACAGATTTTCCCCAATTATTATCCCAAATCTTGATCGTCGTTCCGTAAAGAGATTACCTTCAGTTTTCTGTCATTTTGTTATGGAAGGCAGTTATCGATTATCACTTGATTACGGAGCAAACCTTGATGAAAAACAGCCATTAGGCGCGCCGGGACGTGACACTCCCGATCAGTCCCGACCCGTGCCAATATCCGCTCGTTAGTTAGTTAGTTAGGCACTCCACATGTAACAGTCGAACAGTAATTTACCGTCAAGCACTGGCTGCCCCCCCAGGCTTTACCTGTCTCTAGGACGGACACCTGTCAGTCAGTCAGTCTTCCTGGTCATAATGTTCGGTCACCATGTTCGGTCATCATGTTCGGTCACCATGTTCGGTCACCATGTTCGGTCACCATGTTCGGTCATCATGTTCGGTCACCATGCTCGGTCACCATGTTCGGTCACCATGTTCGGTCACCATGTTCGGTCATCATGTTCGGTCACCATGTTCGGTCATCATGTTCGGTCACCATGTTCGGTCACCATGTTCGGTCACCATGTTCGGTCATCATGTTCGGTCATCATGTTCGGTCACCATGTTCGGTCACCATGTTCGGTCACCATGCTCGGTCACCATGTTCGGTCACCATGTTCGGTCATCATGTTCGATCACCTCGCTCGGTCACCATGTTCGGTCACCTCGCTCGGTCATCATGTTCGGTCACCATGTTCGGTCACCATGTTTGGTCACCTCGCTCGGTCACCACGCTCGGTCACCATGTTCGGTCACCATGTTCGGTCACCTCGCTCGGTCACCATGTTCGGTCACCATGTTCGGTCACCACGCTCGGTCATCACACCTGGTCACCACCACACCCGGTTATCATTTAGACTGTTCACACCCAAGACGAGAAAGAGGAATCTCCGTCATCACAACGCTGACACCTCCGGCGGGCGTCACAACGTGACACTCAGACCCTCTGTCGTTTCTATAACTTAATAGTGACATCAGCGACCTCTTGAGAGGTCAGTGATGTCACTACAGGTAATGTTGCTAGCTGCTAGCACCCGCAACGCACCGACAATGACACTCCTACACTCGCGCTCTGGTTCTGAAGCATCTCTCTTCTCCCATTTAGGAGCAGACCAAGAGGGATAAAGACAGATCACAATCAAGGAAGGTGGTTGGGTGTAGTTCCTGGTGGATACACCAGAGTGCCAGGGAGGGGGAGGTTATCTTGAGGTTATCTTGAGATGATTTCGGGGCTTTAGTGTCCCCGCGGCGCGGTCCTCGACCAGGCTTCCATCCCCAGGAAGCAGCCCGTGACAGCTGACTAACACCCAGGTACCTATTTTACTGCTAGGTAACAGGGGCATAGAGTGAAAGAAACTCTGCCCATTGTTTCTCGCCGGCGCCTGGGATCGAACCCAGAACCACAGGATCACAAGTCCAGTGTGCTGTCCGCTCGGCCGACCGGCTCCCTAGGGGAGGGCTAGACGGTGTCTCCGTGGCCGCATCTCAACTGCTGGTAAAGCAGGTTTTCTCAATAATCAACACCAATCATGCGCTATTTATCCAAGAGCCTCCGTGGAGGACAGCAAGGTTCCCTAGTCAGTAGCAAGAGCCAGGGAGGATAAGGAGAGTCTTAATCACTCTGGCACTGCAGCACGGATGGCACTCCGCTAGACACAAGTGGTTTAGGCCTAGCTCGCCCCCCCCCCCCACCTTCCATCTCACGCCTCGCCTCCCTCCACCCTCACTCTCGTCAATACTCTGCTTCTCTCTTACTTCACAACCGCGTCTCACCATTAAATGGCGGCCATCTTTGAAATGGTCGACATTTTAGAATTGGTGTTTCCATCTTACTTTATACTACTACGCCAAAATGTGGGTATTACCTGAATTTACCTGCGGGGCATCATCTCTAGTGGCCTTGATGGGGATTTTTTCAAATTCAGTTTATCCCTCCTCCACAAGACCCTCCACCAGCGGCCCTCCTCCACAAGACCCTCCACCAGCGGCCCTCCTCCACAAGCCCCTCCACCAGCTGCCCTCCTCCACAAGACCCTCCACCAGCTGCCCTCCTCCACAAGACCCTCCACCAGCTGCCCTCCTCCACAAGACCCTCCACCAGCTGCCCTCCTCCACAAGACCCTCCACCAGCTGCCCTCCTCCACAAGACCCTCCACCAGCTGCCCTCCTCCACAAGACCCTCCACCAGCGGCCCTCCTCCACAAGACCCTCCACCAGCGGCCCTCCTCCACAAGACCCTCCACCAGCTGCCCTCCTCCACAAGACCCTCCACCAGCTGCCCTCCTCCACAAGACCCTCCACCAGCTGCCCTCCTCCACAAGACCCTCCACCAGCTGCCCTCCTCCACAAGACACACCTCCACAAGACCCTCCACTAAGCTGCCCTCCACCGGGTCTACTACACAACGCCACTGAACACACTACACCTCCCCTCAAACCTGAGGGGATTCCTTACCCTCTCTACCCTCACTCCGTCCACTTCCCCTCATTCTGGGATATATCATGCCTGCACCCTCACTACTCCCACCCCCTCCTACCGTGACATGTCTTGCCCCTAACTACACCTTCCCCTATATAATTATTTTGTGTGTAGGTTCTTCTAACCTGGCGCACACAGCCTCCAACACACAGGAATCTGTATACCAGTTGATTGACAGTTGAGAGGCGGGACCAAAGAGCCAAAGCTCAACCCCCGCAAGCACAAATGAGTACACTGCCTATTAGCACATACCCCATTTACAACTATTATTAGTTGTGAATGGGGTATTATTCTTCGTTATTAGCGCACTGTGTTATACCACTACACGAGTCCTCCCTTCCACCTTCTCACACCAAGCCTGCCTCGTCTCGCTTTCCCTTGCCAGCGTAAGAGTATTATTAATGCAGTAGAGCACCGCTCTCCCGGCCATCATAACACTCTCACATGACTCGCCTCTCCCCCAGCACGCTGACCACAACACCACTGATACATAGTGTGAGGGTCCCCCCCTCGTACACGCTGCCCCAGCGTCATTACCCCCCCCCCCCCCCTTCCTCTGGGCCCTCCCGCCATCACTATTGCAACCACTGGATGCAGTGGTGCCCTTTCGCCTCACCTACCAACGTACTGGGCTTCACACAACTTTATGGGGGACTCAAATGTTATACGGAATTTTCGATTTTGCTTTAAAGGTTAGAGGAGTTACAAGGCGAAGAAAGTGGAGATTAACGTCATCTTTCCGCGCGTGACCTTTCTGCGCGCGGCGGTGTAACCAAGTTTCCTGCGACACCAGGAGGGGCCTGGCCAACCCTCTCCCCTCACTCTCTCTCCTTACTCTCTCTCCCTTACTCTCCCTCATTCACGCCGCGGCTTAAATAATCAACCACACAATACCAAAACTGCTTTATCAACCAGTCATGACATTTAGTTCTACCTTCAAAGAAATATTTTCAGAACTGAACACGCCAATTATAAATTGGCAACTGGACGAATGAATAGTATCTAAATTAAATGGCTGAGTAACTATTTCAGTTATCAAGTATCTAAATTAAAAGGCTGAGTAACTATTTCAGTTATCAAGTATCTAAATTAAATGGCTGAGTAGCTATTTCAGTTATCAAGTATCTAAATTAATTAAATGGCTGAGTAGCTATTTCAGTTATCAAGTATCTAAATTAAAAGGCTGAGTAACTATTTCAGTTATCAAGTATCTAAATTAAAAGGCTGAGTAACTATTTCAGTTATCAAGTATCTAAATTAAATGGCTGAGTAGCTATTTCAGTTATCATAAAGAATACATCATTTTACCCCCCCCCCGGCTACAGTAGCAGCCATAGGGTGAACTAGATAATGTATTAAAATAGGAAGACACAATAATATTGAAGTGACAAGACCTGACCGATTAATTCCGGAAAGCAACAATAAGTTTGCACAAGTTTGTTCTTGTAAAATAAAATAAATATATGGGAAAATACAGTAAATTTGCCGAGCTGTATTGCGCAGTGTTTTGCGCCGGAATCTAATTATTATAACACTTTAATTACAATATTATGGCTCATATTTGTTTGATAATTACATATAAAATTGCATAATTGCCGTATTATTTGTTTAATTGCAATGATAATTAAATTGCTTGGGAAAATTGAAGTTAATAATAAGAATAATCGTACTAATAATAACAATAACTTATATATATATATATATATATATATATATATATATATATATATATATATATATATATATATATATATATATATATATATATATATATACACACATATATATATATACACAGGTGCAGACTGTATACATTACAGCAAGTCAAAGTATTTGTTTGTTCTGATAACAATTTAGCTGATAATAATACTGGCTTTCAAATTATAATTTGTGATATATGGAAATCAATACAGCATGGGACTATAGTCTACTCTTTATGCATACATGCATATACTACTCGACATACTACTCTAGTCGAGTAGTATATGCATGTATACATATACATGCATATACTCGGGAAGTAGAAGAACCCCTGATACCCTCTCTAGGGATGGGGGGAGCAAGCAACAGCACAGTGCTATTTCAAACACATTCTTGCAGACAAATGTTGCAAATGATGGCTTTAACGTCATTATATTTGATCTGGGGAAAAATAGTACTTTAATACGAATTACAACAATATACACGAAGCCTTACCTAGGCCGACAGTCGCCTCTTCCTGTTTGATTAATGTTGTAGGCATTTAGTAAGTGGTGAGATACTTAAACGTTGTCTTGGAGTATAACACACACACACACACACACACACACACACACACACACACACACACACACACACACACACACACACACACACACACAAAATGGCTGCTGAAGTTCAACTCGGGAAAGTGTAAGGTGATGAAATTAGGCGAAGGGAGCAGGAGGCTGAACACAAGGTATCATCTGGGAGGGAAAATCCTGCAAGAATCAAATAGAGAGAAGGATCTGGGGGTTGATATCACACCGAACCTGTCCCCAGAGGCCCACATCAAAATAATATCATCAGCGGCATATGCTAGACTGGCCAACATAAGAACTGCCTTCAGAAACTTGTGTAAGGAATCTTTCAGAACCCTGTATACCACTTATGTAAGACCAATCCTGGAGTATGCAGCTCCAGCCTGGAGTCCATACCTAGTTAAACACAAGACAAAGTTAGAGAAGATTCAGCGGTATGCCACCAGGCTCGTCCCGGAACTGAGAGGATTGAGCTACGAGGAAAGGCTAAAGGAGCTGAACCTCACATCCCTGGAAAACAGAAGAGTAAGGGGAGACATGATAACCACCTACAAAATTCTCAGGGGAATTGACAGGGTGGACAAAGACAAACTCTTCAGCACGGGTGGGACACGAACAAGGGGACACAGGTGGAAACTTAGTACCCAGATGAGCCACAGAGACGTTAGAAAGAATTTTTTCAGTGTCAGAGTAGTTAATAAATGGAATGCACTAGGAAGTGATGTGGTGGAGGCTGACTCCATACACAGTTTCAAATATAGATATGATAGAGCCCAGTAGGCTCAGGAATCTGTACACCAGTTGATTGACAGTTGAGAGGCGGGACCAAAGAGCCAAAGCTCAACCCCCACAAGCACAATTAGGTGAGTACACCTGTACACCAGCTGATTGACAGTTGAGAGGTGGGACCAAAGAGCCAGAGCTCAACCCCCCCCCCCCCAAGCACAAACAGGTGAGTACAAATAGGTGAGTACACAGCTAGTTATGCTTGCTGGGAGTTAGGATTTAGCTCCTAGATACGGCTAATCAACCTTCAGTTCAATGGTGTACAGGTATCGGATTTTTTTTGTTAACTCAGTCCTGTCTACATGTAAAGCTGTGTGCCGAGTCTGCCTGCACTTAACTCCTTAAAACTCCTTAACTCCACCTATTACCTCTCCTGCCACGAGGTGATTTGTTGCTGACGTGTGTGTGTGTGGCACATTTAGGCGCTTCCCTCCTCCATAAGACACTCCTCCAGCTTCCCTCCTCCATAAGACACTCCTCCAGCTTCCCTCCTCCACAAGACACTCCTCCAGCTTCCCTCCTCCATAAGACACTCCTCCAGCTTCCCTCCTCCACAAGACACTCCTCCAGCTTCCCTCCTCCATAAGACATTCCTCCAGCTTCCCTCCTCCACAAGACACTCCTCCAGCTTCCCTCCTCCATAAGACACTCCTCCAGCTTTCCTCCTCCACAAGACACTCCTCCAGCTTCCCTCCTCCACAAGACACTCCTCCAGTTTCCCAATTAATCAGTCCTCTCAAGACAGCCTTAGTGCCCATCATGACCACTTGCACGTCTATGCCTGCCACGCCCTCTACCGAGAAACGATATACAATGGTAAGAAAAGAACACCAGTTAAATAACATTGCATGGATAGAGGCCTGAGGCACAGAGGAGCTGTAGACCTGTGGTACAGCTTAACCTTCAGTGGTTCTGTATTTTCAATTTGTCATGTCTGGCCGTCTGGCAACTGTTGGAAGACACAGAAAATGAGTTATTAATTTTGCATTTTCTGAGTCGTCATCCCAGCAACACTATGTGAAAAGGTCATTTGGGGCGACATGGGACGCAGCCACTCCACTACGGAATAGTCAGCTAGGTAAACTAGCTACTAGCTAGGTAAACTAGCTGACTAGGTAGACCGACTATAATGCCTAAATCTGTATTCTCTTGAGTGCAGGCGGGAGAGATACATAATAATTTACACGTGGAAAATAGTAGAGGGGCTGGTCCTAAACCTGCACACAGAAATAACACCACATGAGACCAGAAGACATGGCAGGATGTGCAGAATACCTCCGTTGAAAAGCAGAGGTGCAACAGGTACTCTGAGAGAGAACTCTATCAACATCAGAGGCCCGAGACTGTTCAACACGCTTCCACGACACATAAGGGACATAACCGGCCGACCCCTCACAGTGTTCAAGAGAGAACTTGATAACAACTTTCAAAAAATACCTAATCAACCAGGCTGTGACTCATACATCAGGCTGCGAGCAGCCGCATCCAACAGCTTGGTTGACCAGTCCAGCAACGAGAAGGCCTGGTCGAGGACCGGGCCGCGGAGACGCTAAGCCCCGATACCAACACAAAGTAAGCACAAGGTAAGTATGGGGCCACAGTCAACACAAGTACGGGTCTACAGTTATAGTTAACACCGTAGCCAGTCAGACAGTCACTGTGGGGCAGATCAAAGGCCCCGGCACGCCCAGCCGTACGGAACAGTCCTCTTATGACACTGTGTACTCTCCCAGATGACAAAAGTTCAAGCCAACAAAATCCTCGGGTTTTCTTCCTATTGGGGAGTGTTGTACACGCTGCTATGACGCTATGTCCACTCACAGGATGAGTGGCG